TCACGACTGCTCCTCACAAGCAAGGATTTCTCAAACTTTTTCTTCTGTCTTTTTGAGACAGGGTCTCCCTATAGCCCCAGCAGGCCTGGAACTCACTATGTAGACCAGGCTGGCCTTGAACTCCTAGAGGTCCGCCTGCCTCTGCCTCCTGAGTGCTGGGATTAAAGGCGTGCGCCACCACGCCCAGCATGGAGAAGCTGTTTTTCTAACACCAACCCTGTGTGCTGCGGGAGAAGGGCTGTTTCTGGGGTTTGCTGTTGAAGAGCTCCTATACACACAAATGTGTGTGTGTGTGTGTATAAATAAATATATGATATACATAAATATATAATATATATTTGTGTGTGTTCCGTGCATGTATTTAAGTGCACTGCATGTGTGCAAAGAGGCATCATATCCCTTGGAACTGGTGTTACAGACCAACGTGGGTACTGGGAACTGAACTCTAAGAGCAGCCAGTGCTCTTAACCACTGAGCCATCTCTCCAGCCCCAAGCTATTGCCTTTAAAAAAAATACTTTATTATTTTTATTTTATGTGTATGTGTGTATTGCCTGCATGTAGGTAAGTGCACCCATGTCCTGCAATGCCTGTGGAGGACAGAAGAGGCTGTCGGATCCCCTGGAACTGGAGTTATGGACAGTTGTTAGCTGCCATGTGGGTGCTGGGATTCGAACCCAGGTCTTCTGCAAGAACATCTGTGTTCTTAACCGCTGAGCCATCTCCACCCCGCTATTGCCTTTTAAAGATATAGCCACGATGGGAACAAGCCTCAGTGCCCCAGTCTTGATGCCTGTGAACGTCCAGCTGCTATATCCTACTTACTAGGGTCCATTAACTAGGTTAGCTGCCTTCCACATGTGGACTGTCACCTCATTAAAGTTTTTTTACATTTATTTATTTAATGTGTTATGTACATGTGTGGGTACAGTCAGGATGACTTGTAGGAGTCGGTTCTCTTCCTCCACGGTGTAGGTCCCGGTGATCAGACCAGGTCGTCGTCAGGCTTGGCAGCGAGCACCTTTACCTACTCGGCAATCTCACCGTTCCTAGTCTCCACCTTTCTAATTGGGTCAGAGATGGTCTCTGGTTTTCAGTGGAGTCTCGTCGGGGAGGCCACTCAGGGCCCAGCTGCTTCCATTGGGCTCAGCTGTCTTCTCTCTCCTCTGTGACACTTCCTGGATCATTCCTAAAGGAATAGCTTGACCTGAGCTCAACTACTAGGTTCCCCTTATTTCACTGTGCCCACCTGGCCAAGACTTTCACAACGGAGAGCCTTTCTGGAAGGCCCTGGTGGTGTCCACACCCTCAGAATCAGGGCCTTCTGTCACAGACTCAGCAGACTGTGATTCTAGACAGTTCAGAAAACCTCTCAGACTCTCCAGCTCTGACTACAAGGCCCTTTCCATCCTGTGACTGACACTTAGTTGTTTATTTTATGTTTTGGTTTGAAGGCAGGGGTGCGGGGCAGGGCATTGCTGTGTAGCCTAATTTGACCTTAAACTCCTTGCAATCCTGTCTCCATCTCCCTAGTTCAGTGATTGCAGATATGTACCATTAATTCTCTGTGTGTGTGTGTGTGTGTGCACACGCGCACGTGCAAGCATGCATACATGGATCTGCCTGTCTCCACCCCGCCCCCGTGCTTGAATTACAAGCACGTGCCGCTATACTTGGTTTTTTAAAAAGCATGGGTTTTGAGGGTCAAAACCGGGCCCCTATGCAAGCACTTTACCAACCAACCAAGCCATCACCCCATCCTGCGGTTTTGTTTTTCTTTGTTTTGGCAATCCCTGTTTTTTTCTCAGAGATCGCTCACCCACTCTAAGGTTAGCAAACCTGCTTCACCTGGTTGGGGTCTCACCATGCCTGCTGTCCTTGTGTGTGTTCTGCAGACTCTCCGACTGTTCGTCCACAGGTGCCTGGAACCTGGGTGAGAGAAACCAGTGCCAGGATGCTCAAGGGCAGCCAAGTCCCTGCTGGTGGTTTTAAGCTCACAGTGCATCAAAACCACTTGAACGCAGACCTCCTAGGGCACACCTGACACTTCATCCAGGAATGTTTTACCAAGGTCTGGTGGTTTGCCAGGGCTGGTGAGCCACTGGCTGTAGTAGAATGCAGGCCCTGGTCAGGCCTGGCTCTCACACACGTAGGTTGGTCAGGGGAGATGTCAGATGGGGAAGGAGATGGTGGGGCCAGGTGGTGTGTGGTGACAGTGCTTCAGACCTGCTTTTTTCTTATTATTTATGTTTTTATTTTTTAAATGTTTTATCTATTTATTTATTTATTTTATTTTGGTCTTTTTGAAAGGGTCTCCCTGTAGCCCCAGCTGTCCTAGAACTCACTATGTAGACCAGGCTGGTCTTGAACTCACAGAGATCTGCCTGCCTCTGCCTCCCAAGTGCTGGGATTAAAACCTTGCGCCACCACGCCCAGCTTTATTATTATTTTATGTATATGCGTGTATTGCCTGCATGTAGGTAAGTGCACCTGTGTGGTGCAATGCTCGAGGTGGACAGAAGAGGCTGTCGGATCCCCTGGAACTGGAGTTACAGACAGTTGTTAGCTGCCATGTCGGTGCTGGGATTCGAACCCGGGTCTTCTGCAAGAACAGCCAGTGTTCTTAACCACTGAGCCATCTCTCCAGCCCACTATTATTTTTTTATGTGTATGTGTGTATTGCCTGCATGTAGGTAAGTTCACTCATGTCGTACAATGCCCACAGAGGTCCGAAGAGGCTGCCGGATCCCCTGGGACCGGAGTTACAGACAGTTGTTAGCTGCCATGTGGGTGCTGGGATTCAAACCTGGGTTTTCTGCAAGAACAGCCAGTGTTCTTAACTGCTGAGCCATCTCTCTGGCTCCTTTGTCAGGGCGGTTTGGGGCGGCCTTTCTGTTGACCTCAATGATAATCAGACCGAGGCTCAGAGCTTTTGTGGCTACTTTGGGGGAACTGAAAGGCCACTGTGACCAGGGTGGTGTGAAGTGCTGACACGGTCAGAGGCGGGCAGGGAGCACGAGACCCTTTGGGATTTAAAAGATCACAGGGCATGTAGTGTGCTGCAGGGTAGAGGATGACCACAGGGAACAGGGTGAGCAGGCTAAAATGCAGTCTGCATGGGGCTTGGGCTGGGTGGAAATGGGAGCAAGTGCGCAAAGCAGCAGGATGGCTCCCAGGCCTTCCTCCGACGAGGTGCCACTGACTAAGAGGAGTCAAGTGATGGGGGCCGTTGAGAGCTCTGCCGGCCACTGCTGAGCCAGGAAGCCGCGGACCTCCTGGCTGAAACACCGGGTGGGATGCAGCTGGAGGTGAGCTGAACACAGCATCCACTGCTGGGGATGTACTGGGGATTGACTATCACAGTGGACTTTAAAGCTGGGGAAGGACTTGGAACAGCTTGGTGCAAGCACATGTGTGCTCCAGGCTCTGGATTCAGTCCACAGCATGAGAAGGAGGCAATGAGTGAGGTCACTTGGGGAAGGTGGATGAGAAATGCCTGGGTCCCAGGAGAAAGAGAAGTAGGCAGTGGGCACCAGGAAGATGGCTGGAGCTAGCCTAGGAAGACACCCACCTGCCTGCGAATGCTCAAAGCCTAGGGAGGGGCTGGGATGGAGCCAAGAGGCTGCTGGGATGGGAAAGGAAGTGAGCTGACTCCTGAGTGGCTGTGGTTGAGAAAAGTGGACAAGCAGAGGCCACCTCTATCCAACACAAACCAAGGTAGGCTCTTATCTGAGCCACTCCTGTCTGCTGAAACCCACCACACGTTTCCCGGCAGAGGGTAGCTCTGCCAGTAGAGCCCTCAGAGGATCACAGGGTCCATTCGGTCACCTCCCCACTACAGCAGTGTGAAGGAAGGAAGTACACGAATGATACTGGTCCAGCTTGACACTCGTTTACAAACCTACACCCAGCACAGGTTCCACCCCAGGCCCGTGTGGCCCCTCCACTACCCCACCCAGGAGAGTTGCCATCATAACTGCTCTCATCCAAGCTCCTTGTGCTTGGTTTTGAGGAATATGAACAGAATCATACAGTATCCAGAGTCAACAACCGAATGTCCACAAGGGAGCCCATGGAACAGGAGACATGGCTGGGGGAGATGGAGTTCTGCAGAATATGAATTTGACCTCAATATGACATGTTAAATAGTCACTTAAAGGTCACTTGGTAGTTGTGGGTTTGGATGGTTGATTGTGAACGTCTTCTTCAAACTAAAACTTGAATGAAAGAACCAAACAGTAAGTTGAGAACAAGGGAGGATGCCAGCACTGTGGATGTTGGGAGACAGGGTTAAGTGGGCCTGGAAGTCTGAGCTGGAACAGACACAGGGCTATCCAGCTGTGCCTTGACAGGCTCACCCTACTGGAGACACAGAACTGCCAGGCCTGTGGCCTCTGAAGCTGGAAGGGTGGAACCAAACAGGGAGGGCAAAGCTGAGCACACAGGTCGTCTCAGCCCTGCAGAGGCTGAGGCAGGAGGGTTGCTGTGAGTTCAACCCAGTCAGAACTACGTAGTGAGGCCCTGTCTCAAAAAAGATGGGGGGCAACAGGTGGCAGTCAAGACCCTTGCTGCTTCTCCCCTTGCAGCACAAGCACAGGCGTGGTTTGTTCTGAGAGGCCGAAGCCCCAGGAGAACTGTGGAAAGCTAAAACGGTGTGTGTGCGTGCGTGCGTGTTTGTGTGTGCGTGTGTGTGCCTTTCAGGAAGGAAACTGACAAGGGACTGAAATCTGACATTGGGACATTTCAAAAACAAGGAGATACCCCCCACAGTACCCAGGCCTCCTGAGGTACCCCACCCCCTCCAATGGAGCAGCAGCCACATGCCCAGAGCACCCTTCTGCTGCTTTGCTTCTGGCTTCACACATTCCTGAAGGAGGAGGAGCTTCAGGATCACTTGGAACACAAAGATGAGAACTTGAGCAAATAGTCACTTGGAGGAAACAGACCTTAGGGAGAAAACTTCCTGAAGGAAAAAAACAAGACAAAAATACAAAGCCTACCACTCAGCCTCAGAGTGGTCAGATAGCATCGCCAGGAAGCAAAAGGTGCTGTGAAGGAACTGTATGCCAAAAGGATCTTAAAGATCAAAACCAAGATGGTAGCTGCTAGATGGCTCAGTGGCTAGTGGTACTGCCAAGCCTGATGACCTGAATTTGATCCCCAGGACCCACATGGTGATAGGAGAGAACTGATTCCTGCAATCTGTCCTCCAACCTCCGCACCTGCCCCATGGCATGAGTGCATGTGTATACACATACACACACGTACTCCCATAGAGCCTCCCTCTGTAGCCCTGGCTGGCCTGGAACTTGCAATGTAGAGTGGTCTCAACTCACAGAGCTCTGCCTGCCCCTGCCTCCTGGGTGCTGAGATTAAAGGTATGCACTACCACCCCCCCCCAAAAAAAAAGAGATGGGCCAAAGAAGAGCTTGATAGACACACTGAAAGTGACAGAAGAAATCCTCCGGAAAGTGTAAGATAGAGAAAAGGTAACGTGGAAGGCCAGTATCCAAACAGCAGTTCTAAATAGAAAAGAGGTGAGGTCATCAGCTAATTGAAAGAATATGTCAAAACCAAAAGGGACATGAACTTCCAGATTGAGAGGCCCCACCATCACCCATCCTAGGAATGGAAACAGACCTGACCCTGTGAAATTCCAGGATGCTTGGGTAAGAGAGGAGCCTGCCACCTCCAAGAATAAGTGGGTTACCCTGAAGGGACTAGGAATTAGGCTCAGCTCTCCTGGGGAACATGCTGAAAGGCTGAAGGGTGACAGAGCCCTGCCTTCAAAGCAGAACGCCACCCCACACCCGGTCTAGAATCTCTTATCTAGAATTTAAGACTCAAGCCATCAGTCAAGTGTGAAGCAGGATGAAGGCATTTTCAGACCTGTGTTGTCCACGTGTCGTCTCCAGAATCTGGGGGTTGGGATCCACCAAACAAGGGGAGACAGGCAGGACATATGGAATCCCAGGAAGATGGTGGGGGATGGGCCTGGTAACAGCTACGTACCAGTCCCCCTAGGGTCCAGGGTAACTAGCACCTTGAAGACCCCTATGCTCTGCCGAGATTGGGATCGTGGTAGGCTTCAATAGCTGGGGTTCCGGGCCTGGGCCAGAGCTGGCTTGTCCTAACCGTGAGTTGGTGAAATTTTCCTGCTGCTGGGACCACAGAGGATTCATAGGACTCATGGACACACCCAGGTTCCTTCTGCTGTGACCTCCAGACAGAGGGCGGGAGCCCTCGAGGATGCACTCTCAAGCATCCAGCCACCACCTTTTTGTTTTTGTAGTTCTCTGTTTGTTTTGGCTTTGAGAGTTGTTTTTTGTTTGTTTGTTTTGTTTTTAGACATGGTCTTACCTAGGATCTCTGGCTGGCTTAGAACTCACAGAGATCTGTGTGCTTCTGCCTTCCAAATGCTGGGATTAAAGGTATGCACCACCACTCCTTAGGCAGATTCTAGTACCTGGTCTACCCAGAATTCGCAAGCCAACTTGCTGGATTGCCTGGAAGAGGTCCTTCTGCATGTGTGGCCCCCAGAGATCCCAACCGTTCTCACACTTTCTGAACTGTCTCAAGACTATGGGAACATCCGTAGCCTCACCTGGGCTCCAGTCGCTCCTTCACCTTGGCAATGGAGCGGATGTAGGGTGTGATCTGTTTGGTGATAGTGGTCAAGTAGGCATTCTCCTGCTTCAGCCGGAGAAGCTCACGGAGCTGGGCTGTGGGGACCAATGCCAGTGTGTTGGATGTTACTGTCAGGCTCTTCCCCACAAGCCTGGCACCACCCAGAGATCCCAACTGTTCCAATGACCGGCTGTGGTGTGCCGTGTGGCGTCACTCAGCCAGGCTGCAGGTGCGAGAAGCTAAACTGTGGGAAAGCACGTGGGTGTGTGTGGTTAGTGGCTGCCTGGCTCCCTCCCCTGGTTTCGCCTTGGGTTAGCACTGAGCAGTCATTGCCTGGGACCTTCATAAATCTCCTGCTCGGTGGCTACTCGCTGGTAGGATTCCTCCCAGATCTGAAAGAGAAGACAGGCGCGCTGGCTGTAGCAGTGAACAGGAAGTCACCGAACAGGAAGTCACAGAAGGTGCTTCCTTCCGCTCTAGCTTCCAGCAGCCATGTAGCCCCTCCCACCAGTCTGGCCTTGCAGTTTCAGGTGGCAGAGTCTCCAGGTACCGGAACCCACAGCATTAAGTCTGGTAGGGCCCTAGGCCAGGCCCTCTGTCTCCCCTTCCTGCCTTGGGGTAGCCATATACTTTCTACACAGCCAGGGACAGACTGGGCTCCTGAGGACTGCCACCTCCTGGAAGACGGCTCTCATGACCTCCATGGAAGTATATGCGGAGGCGATCTGTGTGTCCAGCTGCAGGGACCTGTGCAGGATGTCCCCCATAATCTCAGCCTTGATGAGCGAATGATGCTTGGTGAGATCCCGATGCAGTTCTTGGACCTGATCCTTCAAGTTCTGCACCTCCACCTGCAGGCCCTTGATTGCAGAAGACCAGTGAGGGCAGAGCACTTCCAGGGGCTCTAACAGCCAGACAAGGGCATCTTAGTGCAGAAGGGGTGGGGCCTCCCCATCCTGCGGGTCCCCAGGCCCCCTCACCTTGTAGGAGTCCTCATAATGAAGGCAGTGCTCTGTGAAGGGCGTGTCCTCCCCCTCTGTCAGCAGCACCTTAGAGCTGATGGAGCGGTGCTGCGTGAGTTTTTGGATAGGTGACCCCAGCACCTTTCCCACTGGGGAGTGGCAGCTGGGTGCCCTCAGCAACTTGGGGCCTGAGCCTCCTGCCCACCTGGGAATGAGAATGAGTGTGGAGAGGGAAGAGGGCTGGTCTTCCCGTCCCCCAGCCTCCAGGGCACACCCCATCCCTCAGGGCGGAACCCCTGGGTGCTCTCTAAGGCCCCAGACAATGACACCACATGACTTTGTGGTTTCTAAAAGGTTTCTGCTCAGGATGGATCCTGACTTTGTGGTTTCTAAAAGGCTTCAACCCAGGATGGATCCGGGCACACTGTGGTCATGCCTGTAATGGACAGAGAATGTCCTGGGGCCCTCTGGGGTCTCTTGTCTGGACTGGAGTGCCAGCCCCTATACAAGCCGTTTTCATCATTTCTCCAAACCCCTCCTAGACCCTAGCCTTCAACTGAGCCAGGAACTCCGGATCCCCTGTGGCTTCAGGCCCCCAGACAGTGTGTCTGGGGAGCTGGTGGGATGATGCCAGGTCTCTTCTGCTACTCCTGAGCAAGCTGAAGTTCTGCCTGGGTTTCCCGGCCAGGTCCCCCAGGGGTGCTCCACCGGAGCCTCATAAGCCTGACTCCAGTTCCAGAGACCAAATGGGGAACTGGGCGGGCTTGAGACCCAGCAGGAAAGGGACTCGGCCCCTCTGCGTGTCCGCCGCCCTCTGAGTCGTGGCTCACGTGTTGGTGCCACCCAGGGTGGGCACCGCCCGGCGGGACCCCAGCAGCAGCAGCGGCTCCAGGCAGCGCGCGAACTCTGCACGGTGGTCGCTGGTGATCTGGGCGGCGGGGGTGAGTCATGAGTCGGTCTCCCTGCCCAGTTGTCTCTGGGTCCCCGACCCCCAAAGGGAGCCCGCGAACCTTGCTGCTCTGAGCCGGCCTTAAGCGGTGTGGTCGCGAGACGATACTTTGGAGCCTCTCCATCAGCTCCTGCGGCGCGGGGAGGGGCTCAGGACCAGGGGGTGTGGCAGCCAGGGCCCGAAAAGGCACTGGGCCAGATCTATCTTTGGCTTTTGACACAGTATGACTTAGAGGCTCCTGCCCTCTGCTGGGACTGGCCCAGAGAAGGCCACCACCCACATCCTCAGGAAGGGAGATGAGTCTTCCAAAGTCCAGCTGACACCCTGCACTTTGGTGTGATGGAGGCTTATGCTCACTGTCCTTTTAAAAGAGACTCCCTTACTGCCAAAAAGGGTTTGTAGTGGAAGGGGAGAGAAGCCTAGAGCCTCTCTGGTCCAGACTGCAGGGCAGGGTTCTCTCTAGGTGGGAAGTGTGGGAGGGGGTACGGCTGGGAGATATGGACACTCACATAACCCAGATCCAGGAACTCAGCCTTGCTGGCCAAGCTGAGGAAGGAGGAGCAGATGACCAGGTGAACCTGCAGGAGGGGATGATGCTCACTGCCTGGGCTCTGGGCTGGAGTGCCCAAGCCCTTCATACCCTGCCCCTTACCTGCAGGGTGGGCAGCAAGGATGCCAGGTGGGCAAGCTGTTCCTTGAAGGCCTTGTCCTTCTCTTCGTACTGGCTGGGGAGGGGTAGGCTCAGCTAGTTGGTCTCCAGGGCACAACTGCCCGCCCTACCCAGAGGGTCTCCAAATCTGCAGTCCACTCTCCTTACCAGCTTTATTAGTGACGGTGAGATGTGTGTGTGTGTGTGTGTGTGTGTGTGTGTGTGATTAGTGACGGTGAGATGTGTGTGTGTGTGTGTGTGTGTGTGTGTGTGTGTGTGTGTAGAGGCCAGAAGTTGATGTGCCTTCCTCAACAATTATTTTATTATTTTATTTATTATATTTATTTTTGATCTTTTTGAGACAGGGTCTCCCTGTAGCTAGCCACAGAGAGCTTGTTATGGAGACCAGGCTGGCCTCAATCTCACAGATTGCCTGCTTCTGCTTCCCAAATGCTGGGATTAAAGGCATGCACCACCACACCTGGCCTCCACCTTAGTTTTTTGAGACCAGTCTCTCACTATACTTTGGGCTGACCCATTGGCTACACTGGCCAGCAAGGCTCAGGGATCTGCCTGTCTCTGTCCCCCCAGGACTGGGATTACAGGCTTGCCTGCTCTGTGTTTTTGTTTTTCTTAACACGGGTGCTGGGGATCTGAACTTAGGTCCTTCCTCATACCTCTGTGGCAGATGCTACTAACTGAACTATCCCCTCAGCTCTGGTTTTGTTCTTTGAAGTAGGGTCCCATGTAGCCCAGGCTGGCCTTGAACTTCCTGTATAGCTGATTTGGCCTTGAACTTCTGATCTTCCTGCCTCTACCTCCAAAGAGCTGGAATTACAGCCATATACCACCATGCCTGGGTCCCCCAGCAATTCTGTAACTTCTTTCCTGTCACTCTCTCCCTCATCACGAACACCCTGCTCACCTTTGCTCCAGCCTCCTGGGTGTCTTCTTCCTCATGTCAGACAGAGCCAGCCCAGGCTCAGACTCTAGCTGGGTGTATGGAGGTCAAGGCTAAGGAAACAGGGGCTTTCCACCACTCACCTCTGCACAGCCTGCAGCAGCAAAGCTTTCCTCTCGGCCAGTCTGTCCTGGGAGAGGCAGCCCATCACTGACCTGCATGCCTGGCTCTGCCATCTACCACAACACCCTTGGGCATGGGTGCAGATAGGCTGTTTAGCACATAGCCCTGCCACATGGCCAAGGACCTTCCCTCCCTCCTGCACACCACTGCCTGGGTGCCTGAGCCTTAAATGTCACCTCCTGGGTGCAATCTTCCTAGACCCTTCCACCAACACCAACATCCTACTAATATTGGCCCTTCTAGAACTGTCCAGGCAGCTGTGATGAACTCCTAAGGAGGAAGTTGATTCAGCATCTACCAGCTACACTGGAAACTCCATGAGGGCACCTGGGTGGTGGTCTACCAGTCCTCTCTCACCCCTCACCTGCATGCTGCTGAAGAGGGCATGGATGGCCGCCTCCTCCTCGGCAGCGCTGTGTCTCACCTCCTCCACCATAGTCTGCAGTAGCGCGATGGCCTGTCTAGTGGCTTTCTGCAGGGCCTTCACAGCCTGGGGGCAGCAAGGTCTCAGCTCCGCCTCCCCTCAGGTTCTCACCGCCCCCACCTCCTCTCAGTTCACCCAGACTCACCAGCACGGCCTGCTCCAGCCGCTCGCAGCCCTGCACATAAGCTGACTCCAAGTCCACGCAATGGGTTCGGCTTTCCCTGCCCAGGAGCAGCTAATAAGACTCCCTCCATCCACCCCCAGCATCCTCCCTGCAGGCTCGTTCCACTCACCCCTGCATGTCCCCGAAGCAGCGGATGCACAGCAGTGACTTCTTGTCGGTGGAGAACATGATGTAGGGTTCTGAGTGCAGCGCTGTGGAGGGGCAGGGGCCGGGGTGAGGTTCCCGCTGGGTCCCCACCCCTGGCCGGGTCCCCAGCACCGTGTGCCTTACTCACGGCATTTCTGGATCACGTCTCGGCTGCGCTGGCCCAGAGCTACAATGTCATGGCTGGCGAACATGCGGGCACGGTGCGTCTCTTCCCGGCAGTGCAGGCACAGGGGCTGCCCGCATGTGTTGCAGAAGTAGGTGGTCTCTGCGTCCTGGGGGCAGAGAGCTGGCCAAAAGCAGCTCCTTTCCTATAACCTCACTCACTGCAGTTAATTTTTTTTTTTTCCTCTTTTTGAGACGGTCTCCCTGTAACCTCAGCAGACCTGGAACTTGCTGTGTAGACCAGGCTGGCCTTGAATTCACAGAGCTCCACCTGCCTCTGCCTCCTGATTACAAGGATTAAAGGCAGGGGCCACCATGCTCAGCTCTGCACTCTAATTTTTTTATTGAATTTTTTGTGTATTTCATACAGAACAGGTCAAACTATCTTAATCATCTTTATACCCCTGTCCCCACTGGCATCCTCCCATAGCCCCCCCCACTCTAATTTTTTAAAATATATCTTTAAAATATTTTGTATGTATGAGTGTATTGCCTACATTGTACCTGTGTTGTGCAATGCCTATGGAGGTCAGAAGAGGCCATTGGATCCCCCGGAACAGGAGTTACAGATGATTGTTAGCCACCATGTCAGTGGTGGGAATCAAACCTGGGTCCTCTGCAAGAGCAGCCAGTGCTTTTAACAGCTGAGCCATCTCTCCAGCTCCTAATTTTTTTTATTTATTATTTTTATTTTATGTGTATGAGTGTATACATGTCATGCAATGCCCACAGAGATCAGAAGAAGAGGTCAGATTCCCTGGAGCTGGAGCTATAGATGGTTGTTAGCCATGTAGGTGCTGAGAATCGAACCCGGGTCCTCTGCAAGAGGAGCCAGTGCTCTTAACAGCTGAGCCATCTCTCCAGCCCCTAAATGTTTTTTATTATATTGTTTATTCATTTGTATATTTGGGGGTATGTGTGTGCTATGGCACACACTTGTAGAGGTCAGAAGATTACTTGTTGAAGCTGGTTTTCTCCTTCAACCATATGGGTTGTGGGGATTGAAGTCAAGTCAACAGGCTGGGCAGCAAGCGCTTTTACCTGCTGAGTCATCTCTGGACCCTTTCACTGTCTTCTAACACGAGGACCCTGGGCTCAGAGGCTAGGCAAGGTGGTGAAGGGAGGGAAGGAGACCAGAAAGAGGCTTGGAAAGTCAGTTCCACTGGGGGGTGGAAACTGCATTGTGAAATAGAATGTGTGGGTGTGTTTGCACATCCCAAGCCCAGGCTTGGCACTCTCAACAATGGCCAAATCCTGGCACATACCTGGCCATGCAATGAGCATCAGCCCCTGAGCCAGGTTCGCCTGGTCTTATTCCTTCCTCAGCTTGGCCAACAAGGCTGAATTTTAGGTCCTGGGCTATGTCAGTCTCCCCAGCTCCAGCAGACCTCTTCCCCAGCCCTGCATACAGGCTTCCACAGACAGCAGTGGGCACAGACTCCGTGTGGGAGCCAGGGACAGTGAGACAGTGCCATGGAAGGGAGGCCACTGCAGGACCCTGTCCCACCCACTAGATCACCTTGGCCATCTGGAGTTACAGCTCAGTGGAGGAGGGGAAGGTAGACCCAGGACTGAGGGTTCAAGCTTGGGGTGCACTTGGCAGTGACCCTAACCATGGGGTGACAGCATACCCCCACTGAAGACCATGTCCTCATCAGCTCCCCCACCTCCCATCCCCTTCCTGCCTGTTGGCGCTACTTTTAGATCACAGGTTTCTCAGCTCTTGCTTAGCCCAGGCTGTGGTTGTGCGCTAATTCACATCTTAGGTCCTGGTCTCTTGCCAGCTGCATACTGTACCCGTTCCCCCTGGGGCTACAGCTGCTTACAGGTGCTTAGGCAGCAGGGGGTGAACTTACAGGAATTTAAGAAGTTCCCCCAGGTCCATGAACTGAGCCGCTGCTCCCAAGACATCTCACAACTCCACCCTGACCTGGGGACCAGTAAGATCTTCCTAAATTGAATGGTCTCAGCTCTGCACTATTGCTTATCGGATCAAGTCACTTTTTCTGGTCCTCAGTCTCTCCACCTATGTGTAAGATGGGGAATGGGGCCATGGTTGGAATCTAAGGGATCCTGGGGAGTTGCTAGAGACTGCACTGATGGAATCATCCTCACAGGGTATGCTGGGGACATGCTACAAGCACTGGGCATCGTGTAATCTGGCACCCACTGCCCCCTGCTCCCTCACCTGTGCGCTGCACTCCAGGTCACAGTTGGCACAGTGTACAGCCTCCACACCATCACCAGAGCTGTCCACCAGGTACTGCAGCAGCCGGTCTACTGGTGGGAGGCCACTGGAACCCTTTACCACCGTCTGGTGCCTGTAGAGAGGCTGCAGCCAAGATCTGGACACCCTTTCAGGAGACTCCTCCCCTCCCCCTTCACATTCCAGGCGGGAGCTAAAAATAGCTGTATCAGGGTGGTGGGGTCTGCTATAAATACAGTGACCAGCTTGTCCTGAGGGCCCCTACCCTTGCCCATTGTCGGGTGGCGGGGGGACGGACCTCTCATTGCACTGAGAAAACATAGGGTCACCACTGGTACCTTGAGCCAATTTAGTGGTTGTGTTGACCTAAGATTCTGGGGGTGCTCCTCTTCCAAGGGGGTCACTGGGAGAGTCTTGGCCCCTTCTCCAGCCCCACCCTTGCACCCTGACTCTCTGAGAAGCCTTGTGCTTGGGCAATAACGGTCATCTCACCTCAGTTAACCTGATCCCTAAGCAGGGCAGGGGGAAGGGGAACTTCAGAAAATTCTGAGACAGTGGACTGTACCAGCCTCTCTGTGCCTCTTCTGCCTAAATTCAGAACCTCACCACCCGCACTTGGGTTCCCCAGCAGGACAGTCAATCTGGCCTTCCCTGGGTTTGGGGCACTTACTGGCACAGCGGGCAGGCCAGGCGGCCGTCGGTGGTCCGGCCGCGCAGGCAGCGGGCGCAGAAATCATGGAAGCAATCCAGCAGGCACGGGCTCTCGTACTGTGCATGGCACAGCGGGCAAACGAGCGGGTGGCCGCTCGCGACATCCAGGGCACCCAGGCCCTCCAGAGGCGCGAAGATCGCTCCAGACATCTGTAGGGAGAGACCGCGCAGGACCGCGGCTGGGGCGCTCACCGGGACCGGTCCGCCGAGCCCGCGTGGGCCCCTGCCGCCTACCTCCTATCTAGCCCGCCTGCAGAGACCCGACATCCAGTGGCTTTGGACTGTGGAGCCTGGGGAACGCGCAGGGCCGGTTGGCAAGGGGCCTGGGCACTGCTCGCCAACCCTCTCCAGTCCCTCTGCTGCTGAGCTGCCTGCGGGGCGTGGCTGGCTCTGGAAGGTCAGGCGGCCGGGATGGCAGCGCCTCCTCCCCCTCGTCACTTTTCCCACCTCCCCTAACTCCCATCCCCGAACTTTCTCCGCCCTGTGTCCTCTGGGCGACCTCCAGGATGCCCCTTTCGAGCTTGGGCGCAGTGCTCAGCGCTGCGCAGCGCCGCGCGGGTCCTGGACCGAACTTGGTCCGCAGCTCTGCAGGCAAGCCTTGGTCTTGGAGCAGAGGAGAGGACGCCGAGTAGAAAGGACAGTACCTGGAGCGGATGGTCCAAGACTCTACCGGACTCCACGAGATGTGATGGAGCCCCAAGCCGCTGGAGCGCAGCGGAGAGCCGGCTGAGGACACCCGGCTGCCTGGTCCTCAGTCGGACAGACTCTCTGGCTACAGACCTGGGTGGGAACAGTGGGTCTTCACAGCGTCATTTCCCTACGGCCGGCTGGGGACTCCAGAGAGCCCCAGACCTTCCACAACACTCCTGTGCTGCGGAAGCGGGAGAGGCTGTGGGATATTGGCCTTGCTTTGGCTAGTTGTGGCTCTCCAACGAATTACCGACCTCTCAGACCTCAGAGCTCACAGCTGGGAGAAAGCAGAGCTGGTCTCCGCAATGAGGTGAGATTAATTCATGTGAAAGGCCCCACACCCAAAGAGGGGTAGGTTTGGGTGGGAGGTTGGGGCCAGAGATTATCTTTGGTCTGTCTGGTCAAGGCCTATTTTTTTTTAAAAATATTTTATTTATTATTTTTATCTTATGTGTATGAGTGCATTGCCTGCATGTATGTGAGTGCACCCGTGTCATGCAATGCCGCAGAGGTCAGAAGAGGGCGTCTGATTCCCCTGGAACTGGAGTTAAGGATGGTTGGTAACCGCCATGTGGGTACTGGGAATAGAACCCGGGTCCTCTGTGAACTGGTCAGCAAACTTACCTAAGTTACTCCATTTTGTTCAGAGCCATTTTAGCAGCAACTTTGCTCCACACCAAAAGGAAAAGGGGGTCAACCTTGGGTCTTGGGAAATTGTCCTAGCCATGAATCATGGACATGCTAAATCCAGACATTATTCATCTGACTAACCAGCTTATTTTTGCTTCTGTAATCTGCTTGCTATCTTGGGTCACCTTGACACAGGGCATAAGACCACCCTTGTTGTCTGTTATTGTATGACCACCTAGAAGTCATTTACCTTGACTGTCTTATTATACTTATTATGGCTAAAACAGTTGGCTAGTTTTATAATGTTACAAAGTTGAGTGCCAAGTTATATGATTGCATCACTTGTCTGTACAATGATTGGTTGTTAATCAATAGAATCAAAATTCTGCTATGTTGTGCAAACCTGATTGGTTCACAAATGTCCTGTTTTAATAATAATTCTGTAATCCTATAAAAACTCTGACCCAATCATCAGGGCTGCTTCTACTCCCGAGATAGACAGCCCGGCTGGCCGAAAACTAAAATTTACCTTGCTGCTTTTCTTAAAGCGGTGCTGGTGATTTTTTTATGAACTCTGTCCTATAACACTCTGCAAGAGCAGCCAGTGCTCTTAACCGCTGAGCCATCTCTCCAGCCCCATGGTCAAGGCTCATTTATTCTAAGTGTCCCTCTATTTTGGGTCAGTGTCCGTCTGTTCCCCATTCATGTGGTGTCACCCCCCCCTTCTAGATGAATCTGCTAAGCTTTTCTCCATCCATATTATCCCAGGCTCCCTGAAAACAAGTCATTTTACCCCCCTCCCAGTCAGAATCAGGACCAAAGCCTGACCTGCGGAAGGTGTGCAATAAAGTCTTACTAATGGGCTAGAAAAATCTAGGAGAGAACATTGCACCTGGATTTTGAAGGATGACTAGGAATTTGTTACAAGGAAGTAAATTCTATGTAGAAACTACCAGCTTTTAAATTTTTTATTACATTTTTGGGGCTGGAGAGATGGCTCAGTGGTTAGGAGCACCAAGTGCTCTTGCAGAGGACCGGGGTTCAATTCCCGGCACCCACATGGCAGCTACAAACCATCCTTAACTCCAGTTCCAGGGGAATCCGAAGCCCTCTTCTGACCTCCACGGCATTGCACGACATGGGTGCACCTACATACATGCAGGTGACACACTCATACACATAAAATAAAAATTTTTTAAATTTATTACGTTTTTATTTTCTGTATAAGTATGTATTTGTATGGGTGTGCAATGTGCGTGTGTGTGTGTGGCGGGGGGGGTGTCCAGTTCTTTTCTTCTACTATGCGAATCCAGAGGATTGAACTCAGGTCCTCAGTCTCTGTAGCAAGTGCCCTTTCCCCCATGAGCCATCTTGTTGGCCCTGCCTTTTTTTGGGGGGGTCTTTTTGAGACAGGGTCTCCCTGTAGCCCCAGCTGTCCTGGAACTCACTATGTAGACCAGGCTGGCCTTGAACTCACAGAGATCCGCCTGCCTCTGCCTCCTGAGTGCTGGGCTTAAAGGCATGCTCCACCACGCCTGGCCCTACCTGGTCTTTCAAGGGCCTTCCTAGCCTTGGATTGTTTTGTGCTTTCAGTCATAAATATAACATTAGTAACTAAGGCCAGGACACGTCACTTGTCTTAGCTAGTATATTGAGAGTAAAAACGCTACCTCTAGTAAGTGGTGAAACCGGTGCACAAACAGACCAAGGGGAGACAAGAGAGAGGGAAAACAACTTGGGTACCTGCTTTGTCAATGAGTGATGTGTCTGTTTCCCAGTAGGAAGTGGACGTTTTCATTTGTGGTTTTTTATTCTATTGTTGTGGTTTTTGTCTTTTTGAGACAGGGTCTCCCTGTAGCCCCAGCTGGCCTAGAATGACCTATTTAGACCAGGCTGGCCTTGAACTCACAGAGATCTGGCTGCCTCTACTTCCCGAGTGCCAGGAGTAAGGGCATGTGCCACCACGCCCTTTGTTTGTTTTTGAGACAGGGTCTCACTCTGGAGCCCAGGCTGCCCTAGAATTCATGATCCTTCTGTCTCTGCCTCCTGAGTGATGGAATTGTTGGTGTTGTACCACTATGCTGTTGCTGAATATCGTTCCTGATAATTGTTATCTGTTTAATCTGTGGGTTTATGTCTTTAATGGGCATCTTCCAGGACCAGATACTATACCGGGCACTGGGACACGGACGGAAACACACCCGCCATGGTTCATCCAGTACAGATAAACACAGCAATGACAGACTGTGTTAAATGCTCTAAATGAAGGTGCTGTAATGGCACAGGTGGGAGGGGTTGAGGCTGGGGCCATAGTAGCGATCAGGAGAAGAGAAGGCTCTAGACTTAGAACCTCAGAGACCAGGGAAAGTTCCAAGAAGAGGGGCTTGAATGCCCAAGTCCCAACAAGGAGGAGGTGGCCAGTAGTGTCAGGTCACTAAGAGATGCAGGGAGAGGAAGACAGAGAACTGAGAACTGATAGAGTTGGCCATGTGTGAGCTTGGTAGGGGCTGTCCTGGTGGCTGGAGGGCAAAAGTGTGACTGTAGTAGATTCAACAGAACAAGGGAGAGAGATTAGAAATAGCATCCAAAGCCACCTCTTCCAAGAAGCTCTGCATGGAATGGGGCGGGGGGTGGTAGCTGAAGAGGCATGAGGTCCTCAGCTAGATGTTGATGATGGGACCAACTCATCCAGAAGGAAGGATGAACTGCATTTCTTGGGGGAGTGGAGAGCTGTGGGATGAGTGATGTCCTCTCATAGGCAAGTGTGCCAAAGATGAATTTCCCATGAGTAGGGGCTGGCAACCGAGGGAACAGGGATACTTCTTCCAAAGTGGTAGGAGGAGAAGACAGAGTCTGGGGGTGGGGCTGTTGCTGGGAGGTGGCTGTAAAGGCCTGCATGTTCGCAGATTCTCTTTGGATGACAAGGGGTGTCATTAGCTGTGAGGAAAGTTTGGGAAGTCGCCTAAGTTCTGGTCAGGAGACTCTCTACAACTATTATAGTAGGGCCAAATCCCAATAAACCCATAAACTGAAAATATGGTAAGCTTGGGCTGGTGAGATAGCTCAGTGGGTGAAGGTGCTTGCTACTAAATCTGACCACCTGAGTTCCATCAGGACCCACGTAGTGGAAGGAGAAAGCCAACTCCCACAAGCTGTCCTCTGACCTCCACACATGTGCCATGGCATGTGAATTCCCTCACACATATACACATGATAAATAAATGTAATTAAAACTTTTTGAAAAGAAAGTATGATAAAATCAAGAAGTATTTAACCTATTGAAATCACAGCTTCGGAGCACAGCACACTGGAGCATTTGTAGCTAGCCCTTGCAATCCCAAGGCCATTTGTGAGCTGCAGGAAGCTCCCTTGGCCCAATATTGCGAAAGAGGGTCACATTTGATATCAGCAGCCCTGAAAGATACAGAGACTGAGAAGTCAAAATACGGTTTCTACTGATCACTTTTCTACTGTTGTAAAGTTAGGACGGAGGACTCAAGTCACTGGTGTAACTCCACTTTGTCCCCCTCTCGTTCTATTTTTCTTTTAACTTTTTTCCTCCTGAGTCACTGTCTCCTGCAGTCACTTTAGAGTCCAGGGAAAACCAAAACTGACTGGTAAACATCTTTATAACTAGGGGCCAAAAGTATCTCCAAGCTACAGTGAGCCTTGAAGGACAAAACACCCCCCAGTGAGGGCAATTACCTGTGGTGTAGGTCTGCACCTGGGGCAGGAATAATCCCCTCATGGGAACCGGATTGCTCCCTTGAGGCGGTGACAGCAGCTAACTCTTCTAGCCCACCTCCACTCTCCCAGAACCAGGAGATTCTGATCCATCAGACCACTCGACTGGCTTCGGCTCTGCTTTGTTTGCTGTGAGTCCCCCAGCCCTCTCCTGTTTCCTCTTACCTGTGAGCTCCCTGAAGTCAGACTCGGAGTCACTGAACCCCTACATCTGTTCTCCCCAATGCAGCCAAGTCGATGAAACCTTTTTTCT